GCTGATGTTCAGGTGTATATCAGTATGTAGTGTCCTCTACTTTAAAGAGTCCTCTCCTGCTGATGTTCAGGTGTATATCAGTATATAGTGTCTCTACTTTAAAGAGTCCTCTCCTGCTGATGTTCAGGGTGTATATCAGTATGTATTGTCTCTACTTTAAAGAGTCCTCTCCTGCTGATGTTCAGGGTGTATATCAGTATGTAGTGTCTCTACTTTAAAGAGTCCTCTCCTGCTGATGTTCAGGTGTATTATCAGTATGTAGTGTCTCTACTTTAAAGAGTCCTCTCCTGCTGATGTTCAGGTGTATATCAGTATGTATTGTCTCTACTTTAAAGAGTCCTCTCCTGCTGATGTTCAGGTGTATATCAGTATGTAGTGTCTCTACTTTAAAGAGTCCTCTCCTGCTGATGTTCAGGTGTATATCAGTATGTATTGTCTCTACTTTAAAGAGTCCTCTCCTGCTGATGTTCAGGTGTATATCAGTATGTATTGTCTCTACTTTAAAGAGTCCTCTCCTGCTGATGTTCAGGTGTATATCAGCATGTAGTGTCTCTACTTTAAAGAGTCCTCTCCTGCTGATGTTCAGGTGTATATCAGTATGTAGTGTCTCTACTTTAAAGAGTCCTCTCCTGCTGATGTTCAGGTGTATATCAGTATGTAGTGTCTCTACTTTAAAGAGTCCTCTCCTGCTGATGTTCAGGTGTATATCAGTATGTAGTGTCTCTACTTTAAAGAGTCCTCTCCTGCTGATGTTCAGGTGTATATCAGTATGTAGTGTCTCTACTTTAAAGAGTCCTCTCCAGCTGATGTTCAGGTGTATATCAGTATGTAGTGTCTCTACTTTAAAGAGTCCTCTCCTGCTGATGTTCAGGTGTATATCAGTATATAGTGTCTCTACTTTAAAGAGTCCTCTCCTGCTGATGTTCAGGGTTTATATCAGTATGTATTGTCTCTACTTTAAAGAGTCCTCTCCTGCTGATGTTCAGGTGTATATCAGTATGTAGTGTCTCTACTTTAAAGAGTCCTCTCCTGCTGATGTTCAGGTGTATATCAGTATGTAGTGTCCTCTACTTTAAAGAGTCCTCTCAGCTGATGTTCAGGTGTATATCAGTATGTAGTGTCCTCTACTTTAAAGAGTCCTCTCCTGCTGATGTTCAGGTGTATATCAGTATATAGTGTCTCTACTTTAAAGAGTCCTCTCCTGCTGATGTTCAGGTGTATATCAGTATGTATTGTCTCTACTTTAAAGAGTCCTCTCCTGCTGATGTTCAGGTGTATATCAGTATGTAGTGGCTCTACTTTAAAGAGTCCTCTCCAGCTGATGTCCAGGTGTATATCAGTATGTAGTGTCTCTACTTTAAAGAGTCCTCTCCTGCTGATGTTCAGGTGTATATCAGTATATAGTGTCTCTACTTTAAATAGTCCTCTCCTGCTGATGTTCAGGTGTATATCAGTATGTATTGTCTCTACTTTAAAGAGTCCTCTCCTGCTGATGTTCAGGTGTATATCAGTATGTAGTGTCTCTACATGTCTCCATGCTTTAATGTTCAAAAAGCTCTTTATTTTTCTCATACTGCCTGTGCTGCAGCACCTCTTTTCACCCTCTGTCTGAAACCAGAGCCCAGTCTGCTCAAGTCTTACCCAATGATGTCACTATGACACGGAAGTAAACAAAGGCATCCAATGGAGGCGTTCCAGGCGGGTTTAACACAGCGATTTCAGCCTTTGCAGACTATTAACATGCACAAAAGCCCAATAGAGTAGTAGAGTGATTACATATGTTTGTGGGCCGACCCGGAAGTAAGCTGCTGGTTCCCTTGAGAAAAAGCAACGGGATTTCTCCATTGGATTTTGGGAAATTGTAAAAATTAAGATCTGTGGAAAACGAACCTAAATGCACGTTTTGTTCAGCCGGATAATCTCCACATGTCTACCCTACTTTTATAATTTTCGAATCATAAATCTAATCGCCAGAAGCAAAGTGCTAACGTTATGCTATAAAGCAGGGGCGGACTGGCCATTGGGAATACCGGGAGTTTCCCCGGTGGGCCTAAATCCTATCGGCCCACATTTGTAAGTGTTCCGGCCCAGCCCAGCCCAGTGGGGTGTGGCTGGGCTGGTTCATTTTGATAGGCTACCTTTGTTCTATCTATCAGTTTCAATTTCACACATCAGGCCCGTAGCAGCTGTCACTGCGCAGTGAACGATCAGGAGTGAGTGACTGAGAGACCTAGCTGGCAGTTGCTTACAGATGGATAAACGGCGTTTTTGTATAGTTTGTGTATACAGTATACAGTGTAGCGAGCCCTGGGTTCAGAGGGAGGGGCTTGCATAGGGGAGGGGGGGTTGGCAGGGAAACGGGGTTCAGGGGGAGTGGCTGTACCCGTACGATAGAAAAGGGGGAAGTGATGTCTGACTCAGAGGTCGCGCGGCTGTGGAGAAGAACGTGTTGCCCACATTCTGTTACTGAGTTTAGGCTAGTTAGCTAGCAGGTTTATTGTTTTGCGTGCAGTCACTTTTGCCTCCACTTGCTGTTCAAATAAATGTTGAAAAAAAAAGTAAATCTATTTACAGTTCTGTTTTATATGGGTGTTGAAGAAGAAGAAGAATTGGGAGGGATGAACCCCTCTTTAATGGTCACACATGCAGAGCACACAGCACACACAGTGAAATGTGATCTCTGCTTTTAACCTAGTACCAGGAGTCTATACTAGGAGCAGTGGGCAGCTATTGTACAGCACCCGTGGAGGGGGGAAGGGGGATGTCCGGTGCCTTGCTCAAGGGCACCACGGCAGGGCAGGAGGTGAACTGGGACCTCTTCAAGTAGAAGTCCACACTCCAAATGTAGGTCTGGCCGGGGACTTGAACCGGCGACCCTACGGCTCACAGTCCAAGCCCCTACTGACTGCCATAGATTTAGTCCCTAAAGTGCACCAGATTGATGCATTTAACTTCAACATTAAAAAAAAAAAATGTGTCTCAACCACAGACTTTATTTCCAGCTATTTTCCAAAAACATGTTCAGAAACCGTTGACTCTGAGACGAGGGAACCGGAAGGGGTAAAATGCTATCTCAACTTCTGGGTTTTTAGGACTGGTTTCCTGCACCACTCTATTGGGTCCATTTAACTCGTTGAGTATGAGATGTGTTTCTTCTTCTCTGGATTCTCTCTGAAGTCCACATGCATGATGCAACACATTATTGATCCTGTATGCTGCTCTAACAGAAATAGATCTGCATCCTCACTGAGCTGCATGTAGGCCGAGCGTTAAACACCGTGATGTGACCGGGCTCAGTCCCCTCATCAAGCGCTTCTATAATCAAGCGCTCCACTGGAGAGGCTGTGAGGACCCCGTGGGACTGCCCGTCATAAAAGCCTGCCTGAAAACACTCCTCTGCAGCTCGGGAAGAGGTTAAGAGTCAGAGACGCAGATCTGAACGCTGCCGGGGTTTCTCCCTGAGATGGATGTGATGTGGATGTGTACACAGTGGTGGAAAGTATAAGTACATTTACTCAAGTACTGTACTACAATTGTGAGTATTCTCCCTTCATGCTACTGCACCACATTTATTGTAAAGCATTGGTAACCAGCTACTTTGCAGATTTAGATTATGAATACAAAATATAAATCAACTAATGAATTGTGATGTATTATTATTGACTAATGCACCTGGCATTATAGAAAGACGTTACAGTTAGCTCCACCTTCTACAAGCTGCAACATTCAAGTGATGAACACATTAAGGCATCACTATTTTTAAACCAATGAGTTAATAAATACTTTAGTCTCAACATCGAGCACTTTCACTTTATATTTTGAGGCTTGTCTTTTGGACTTTTACTTAAGTCAGATTTTGTATGAAGGACTTTCACTTGTGACAGAGTTGGTCTCCTTTGTTTACTTATAGAACCTAGTGACATCACTATGCAACACTCGCACTTCTATTGGCTAACGCTCTAACACATTGTACGTGATAGGCTAAGGGGCGGGACTAAGCAGTTGACTAATCACAACAGAGTCGGCCAGCTAACCAATCAGAGCAGACTGGGCTAATAATCCATGCACACACACTCAAACTTTAAAACTCCTGTATATGGATATCCTGTATCTTATTCTGTTTTTAGCTTTGTTTTTATTTCACTGCTTTTGGCACGTATTGCCGGTTTTTAAATTGTGTTTAAAAGCGGATTTAAAATGAGTTTCATTTTCACTTTGTTTCGTGTGAAGCATTTCAAATTGACTTATCGTTAAAATCAACTTTTGTTGCCGCTGTGAAAACATAACAATAGCAATATTGGATCCTTTAATATTCCCCATTTAGTCAATTACAGAATAACATGCTCTTCCAGCCGATTTTATACAAACATGTTTGACTTTCAGAAGTTGAATGAACTTCATATTGCCGCTCGATTTGTTTATAGTGTTTCCCAAAGTTGATGTTTTGCAGAAAACACACTTTAGTTGTGAAACGTGCTAAAAGCTGAGAAGTGAAATGACTAAACAGACGCTTCCAAGGTCTCGATGTTCGTTTAGGTTCCCCTCTCATCACCATTCAACTGAAACAAATCTAATGCTGGGCAGGAAAATACATTTACAATCCCATGTTGCAGCTGACCTTGACCGTAACGCACTGTTTCCATGGTAACAAATGAGATGAAGACGTAATAAAATGAGCTAAAAATGTTTCCCCCCACGCTGCAAGCTGAAATCGATCTCCTGTCATCGCTGACATGCAAACCAAACGGGTGGAAGAGATTTTTAATTTTTTTAATGTGTGTGTTGTGTGTGTGTGTGTGTGGTGTGTGTGGTGTGTGTTGTGTGTGTGTGTGTGTTGTGTGTGTGTATGTGTGTATGTGTGTATGTGTGTGTGTGTGTGTGTGTGTGTGTGTGTGTGTGTGTGTGTGTGTGTGTGTGTGTTGTGTGTGTGTGTGTGTGTGGGTGTGTGTGGGGGTGGGGGTGTGTGGGTGTGTGTGGTGTGTGTGTGTGTGTGACTGTACCTGAAATGGACTCTGGCTGTTGTAGTTCTTCACGTCCTTGTGGGCTCCACGAACAAGCAGCACTCTGGCACAGTTATCCTGAGGAGAGAAGAGGAAAACAAAACAATGAGTGAAACAAAGCTGGGAAAATGTTTAAAAACAGAAATCCTTTCATTTCCCTACTTTTTGGAGGAAAACTACAGATTAGCTTCCTGTGACTTTAGCAGAAACCTCCAGAAGTAGTGGCTGAACATCCAAACACTGCCACAGGAAGATAAATAAAAACAACGACCTACATGAGGAATGGTAGCGCTGCTAAGTGAGAATATATCTGCACTCAAACAGGAAGAGGAGTGAGATGGAGAGACGTAGAGAAGAACAGAGAGCTGGAGAGCGCTGAGGGCTTTGAATCTGCTGCACAAATCGCCCACAAAGTGCTCAACCACGCATGCACCGTGCACACACACATGGACATAAATACTTTTTTTAGATCCACAATAAGCTATTGAGAGTTGCTCACACAGAAACACAAGCATAATCTGTGCAGTGTTGACAAATGCCAGCGTTTAGACATTAAAACGTTATTTAAAGGATGCATGAGTGTGATGTTTTTACTGGAGAGGAGCCATCACACAACATTTATTTCCAATACAACATATTTAATGACGCTTCTAAATGCAAATGTGTGAATTAAAGCAATCACATGCTACTACTTCCTGTATAACGGTGTTATTTAAGACTCTTAGTTCAAACAAAATGCACATAGTGATTGATTGATTGTATATTAGTATTATTTATTGATTTAAATTGCTCCAAAATGTTCTTTTTTTCAGGTCTGCACAACTAAACGTGGAGAAACAGCATTCAGGTTGTATACCCCATAAATAAATAACAAACCTACACATATTCTGATAAACAACCATCATCTGTGAAGTGTTGACAAATGACAAAGACATACACATGTTATTTAAAACATGCACGAGTGTTATTTTTAGCCATGACATTTGTTGTCATATATAAGTATCTCTGTTGAATGTTGTTTTACTGATTGTATTTACCTGTTATTTGAAGTGCATTTTTGTTTTTAGGATGACTTTCAACATCTGTCCAGGGACTACAGACGAAAAATAGCCTGTTGGCTAACTCTGGCGCATTTACAGAAATGTCAATCAATGTCCCTGTCAAATAAATATATAAATAAAAATAAAAATAAAAAGTCAATACATTTATAATGACGCTTGCAAATTGAAATGCGTGACATACATCATTAATTAAAGAATGTACATGCTAGTACTATATTGCATTATTTAGGAATTGAAGTTTCTTAAACTTAATGTCTAATTGTTCATTATGTAACATTTATTATAGCTTTAACTAAAACAACAAACGTGGAGAAGCAGAGTTCAGTTTTGGTGCTTCGTAAATCTATATAAACCCACAAACATTCTGATAAACAACCATAATCTGTACATTGTTGACAAATGTCAGCAATTAGACATTTAAAGATCTCCTATCGTGCTATTTTAAGGCATATATTATGGGTCTCAGATATATAGAAACATGTCTATGATGTGTTTTTCTCAAAATACAAACAAATCATGCATTTTAGACATCCCTCATACCCCTCTATTCCAGCCCTGTTAGAGAAAGGCAGATTGTGGGTCCTTAGCTTGAAGAAAGAAAATAAAGAGGAGGCGGAGCTAATGCCGGAGATAAAGTAAAATTCTGCTGTGAAAACGTCATCCTGTTCTAAACCACATCAAGGATTATTTCTGAAACAGTATGGAGCTCAAATGCTTTTTCTCTTGCGGGTTTATCACAAGATGAGTTCCTTTTTTTATTTCCTGCTTTTTAAACACATGTGCTCTCCAGTACAGGTTAGCTCTGAGTGTTAGCGAGGCTTGCTAACGTAAACAAAGACGAGATCACGTCCAAAACGTTGTTTCTGATAGCAACTTTCTGTGGGTCACCATCCGATTTCACGTCATATCGGACGCAAATCTGTATCCGCTCGTTGCAGCCCCGTTTTAAAAGATGTGGGTACGGAGGAAGAGAGAGGGTTTTATTTTCTGACGCTGCGTGAGTTCCCCGACGCACCGGGGACATATGTTCAGAGTTGGGTGTAACACGTTACAAAGTAACGCCTAACTGTAATAATATTACTTTTGTCGGTAACGGGGTAGTGTACCGCGTTACTTTTATAATTTAGTAATCACACTACAGTTACTAACATTGCTCCGACACGCGTTACTTCATTACTTTTATAAAATAATCACACTCACTGACAGACTAGAGGGGTTTCCGCCGCAGGTTTATATACATGTAGGCCTATGTAATCTGCGCGATTTGCGAGACCACATCTCCACGTGCAGTGCTGCATAAACATGGCTGAGTCTTCTCATCTGTAAACTCCCTCAACGGGGCCGCTCGCTCTCTTTTGTTGATCGCCCTCTCACGGGTGAACAGTTCAATGTCCCGCTTCATTGTAGGAATTCTGTCTCTACCACTTTAGTTTGAGCATCTCTGTTACTAAGTTATGGAATACTAAATACATAAGTAATTAGATACCTTACCGTTACTGCGCTCATAAAGAATGATAAGAATAATGCGTCTTGAACTGGTTTCATTATTTAGTGTCTTGACGTTTCACAGACTGTTAGCTTGTTGTGTGGCTGGTAGCCTATTTTAGAGCATATACAAAGAAAGACTTGTGTTATGTCTTCCTTAATGCAATAGTAATTGGGGGTGCAAGTGGAGTCTCGCAGAGGCAAAACTGTGGCGCGCTTACACTGTAGGTGCGCCGCAGTCTGCGTGATCTGCCTGTAGGGAGGGGCGGGCCGGCCCTGCGAGTAAAGTAACGAGTAAAGTAACGAGTTAATTTATGTAGAGAGTAACGAAGTAGTGTAATATATTACTTTTTTTTAATGTAATATGTAATATATAACTTTTTTTTAGTAACGACCCCATCTCTGCATATGTTTATGTATAAAACACATCAAAAAGTGCATTTTGCATGATAGGTCCGCTTTAAGTCTTATTTTTAAAACATGAATAGTTATTTTTTGTCCATACATTTACAATGACGCTTGCAAATGGAAACGTGTCAGACTTATGAATGAGGTATTTTAGCTTTCAGGAGACATTAGGGAGGACATGTAAAGACTGTAGAGACGGAGGGATTTAATGTCTATGGAAATCTCCGCTTTAAATAGATTTGTCTTGTGTGTTTCATGTGGTTTTAGTGACTGTAGATCACTGATGCAGGAGATGACAGAGGATGCAGGAGATGACAGAGGATGCAGGAGATGACAGAGGATGCAGGAGATGACAGAGGAAGAAGGATTCTCACATATTTCTATTCAGAAGTTTTTTAAGTTATGTTTTGTAACAACGCTGGAATCTCCTCAGGGTTCTGTGAGGAGGGAGAAAACATGAATATTTATGATGTACAGTATGCCGGCCTAATAACAGAATAATCCAGTTACATCAACCCCCTCTGATTCATCATCATCATCATCATCATCATCATCATCATCACACTCTTCAGCTGCAGCTCTCAGAGCGTCACGGCAACACAGAGGATATTTCAGACGGTTTATTATCATTAATAAGTATTGAGGAAAGACCAACACGTTTACTCTTTTCTGAGAATTACAGTGTTGGCTTTTAATAATTAACTAATCCCATAAAAATACCCCAAATATATTATTATTCATCTTTTGATTTAATATTGTAAGACTGAGGAAGTGCTATATTTTTTTAAATGTACAATACCCATGAAAAGACCATAACTTCATTGGATTATTATTAGGATGATTATTATAATAACTATTATTAAATGCATGTATTTTTATTTATTTATTTCATTTATTTATTTCATTCATGTTTGTTACCATATTATTTTTTAAACTGAAATAAAAGGAAAACACCACAACTAAAAATGAACATATATTTTAATAACTATTGTGTTTTTATTAAAGCCTCATTTATATATATTCTCTTTGCTGTTGAGCTCAATTGTTAGAATACATATGTATGAGCTGCTATTAAAGACGTGTCAGCAGCCTCACATATCGTTTAAGAATAAATGACTATATACAAATGGACCTTTCCCATCTCCATGCGTGGACTAACACATATCTCCTTTATCCCAGCATCACAACACAAACAGACGCTGGTGTGAAGGCCGTTTCCGAGGTCAGAGGCTCGTGGATCTTTAGCTTCACAGAGAGAATTATCGTTGAACGAACCGCAGTCAATGCAGCTGTGGGCTGTTTCTGAGCTGTGATTTTCTGCATAACTGGACACGCTGCAAAGGCTATGTGATAAATGCTATCTGTAAAACACACAGTTTAGAGGCTGCTGATCTTCAGATGCACTCACAGGTTTAAAGTCAAATGCTCTTTGAGATGGTTCAACTGGATCTCAGAGATTTCTTTAAAAAAAAAACCGCTGGTCATTTAGAGATTTTATTTCTTGTTTGGCGCTCCAGTGAGCATATAGGAAGTTATGGAAAACATCCTCCTCCCACTATAACCCTCCTCTATCTGCTCCCTCCTCTTGCCATCTTGAAGGGGCGGAGCTTAGTAGAGGCAGCTAACTCACCTGTGGCCAATCTGTGAAGGCTGCTAGTGGAAAATCTATAAAGGCTCACCTATTGAAAATATATGAAGGCTCACCTGTGCCAAATATATAAATACTTACCTGTGGCAATAATATAAATGCTCACCTGTGTCAAATGTATAAGGCTCACCTGTATAAAATAAAGAGGCTCACCTGGGGCAAGTATGACAAAAAAAAACAATTGATCCCATTCACTTTACCTTCCTTTTTGACATGTATCCATTGACCACATCATGATAAGATTATCATTTCCCTTCTCCAAATATACAATTTTACTGAATAGAGCCTGAACGCACCATAGAGCAACCAAACTGCTTCTACTGGATGCTAGCAGCTAGCATAAACTAGCTCTCCTTTGGCCAATTTCAACAAAGATTTGAGGTTTTTCAGGCCGCGGCCACACGAGGACGATAACGGTCGTATCTACAGCTACAGTTCACTATCAGATAGACGGTTCGGCCACACGAGGCTGACATGGAAACGCAGAAAACGATAACGGGTCCCAAGGTGGGTAGATCTGCAAACGAAATGCTCTGGGGGGCAAACGGCTCCGTGTGTACCATGGATGTATAATAAGCACACAGCGGAGAATAAACAGAAGGGAAACCATGCATGCGCGGGAAGTCTTCTTCGCTGCTTTTGTGGCAGGAGTACAGCGCCACTTACAGGCCTGGCATATGTACTACAGCGTCTCCAGCGCTTTCGAGCGGTCTCGTGTGAACGAATACGTCTCTGGTGCCTATTGCGTGTGGACCTGTGGACGGAAGACTTTTTTGATATCGATTTCGGTCCGTTTGCGTTATCGTCCTCGTGTGGCTCCATCCTCAGTCTCTGAGTGGTTTGTCAGGTTTTAAAACCCGCTGGTCTGTTTGGCTAGTTCTGCTTCCAGTAAAACGCTCCAAATAATGAACACTGAATGATTTATAATCGGAAGAAGCTGACTGCAATGATGGCAATAATGGTGAAGACAACCTCTCCTATGATCCCATGCTATTTAATGACAACTAACTCTTTATTTTGTTATTGTTCTTTGGCAGAAAATTACATATTGTATAAAATAAAGAAGGATTTTAAGTCACGTTGGAACAGAATGCAGCTAAATGGTGTTAGCTAATATTGCTTGTATTAATTAAGGAATGAATGCCAACAAAACACGGAACAATTTGAACCATATTTGAAATGCTCTTACCCAACGCTCTATGAGGGGAAAGTCACATGTTAAAGTATTTACTGTGATAATAGGTAGACAGTGACTTGGTTGTATCGTGGGGATTCTCCAAGCTCAGCATCAGAACATCAAACACATGAGTTTAATAAATAACATGAAAGAAGAGCTGCGAATGATTCGTCCCCTGAGAAAGAGGAACAAAGAGCCTGCAGGCGGTGTGCTCTGCAGATATATGTCAGCATGCAGAGCGGCCATTTAGGTATAACCTTTAATCGCCTTTAAAAAATATACTGAGTTTGGTGACGTTGACAGCGAGGGATCATGGGAAATGTTGTCTTCACCCCAACTGTCGTCATTTCAGCTCTACTTCTTCTCCTTCCCCTGATTAGAAATATTTAAGTATTCATTGTTCAGAAGGTCCTTTGTTTACCTTTTTAGGTAGCATAGTTAAAAAAACACTGATAAAAATCTGTGTTTCAGCCACGATGTTTGACACAAAAAAAGGCTCTAATGTTTGCTCGTCTTGTTTATCTGATAATTGAAGATCCAGATGGTTAGGAGAATTTTACTGAGAGCCATCATCGAACAAAATAAACACAACTGGTGAAAACACGGATAAACTCGCTTCACAAGTACCACGGCAGAAAATGGACGTCCTAGAAAGAAACGTGTGTCCGATTGTTATTGGATAACTAACAATCCAGATGTTGAGGAGGTTTCAATTGTGAGCCAATTATCGACGGGTACTCTCCTCTAAAAACCCTGTGATTAAACGAGTGAAAAACGGAATAAATCAGTTTAATGTTGACGGTTTGTTTCGACAAAGACAAAGCTTTACTACCAGCTGTGAGAAGCACTGCTGCTAATGTTTACTCATCTTATTTCTCTGATAGTTTAAGATCCAGATGTTCAGGAGGTTTTTAACAGGAGCAGAATTATTGTCAGAGGGTTTTATCCACAAAAACCAAATGGACCACCAGGTGTTAATAACACCAGTAAAAGCACCAAATAATGAAGTGTCACGTTCTAAATCAGTGTTTCTCAGAATGGATGTCTTAGAGGGAATAGAGCAGAGTTGTTTCTTTATTGAGATACAATCCAGATGATTACGACGTTTTCATCGAGAGCAGAATTATCGACAGAGGTTTCATTCTCTCCAAAGCTGGTGATTTAAAAGCAGTAAAAAAGCTAAATTCAGAGTTTTCCTTTTAGGGTTCAGTTTTTTTCAGATTCTTTGGCAGCAGCTTATGTTTGCTCAGCTTGATCCTCTGAGAGCTGAAGATCCAGATGTGTAGGAACTCAAATCCTTTATATAGTTAAAAAATAGCGTATGAAGCACAACAGTCAGGATGGCTTTTACATCCTTGTCTGTCCTAAATCATCACATTTGGAAAAAGGTAAATGTGAATCTTAGCTACCACATAAACAAGTATAACGTATTTCCATTTCAACCACGCCAGGGTTTTCCCTTAATGAAAGTTTTCCACTTTTATAAGTGCGTGGTTTATTTACAGTGAGTTCATAATGTGCATGTTTCTCCCGCTTTCACATCAAAATAGTACCAGGGCAATGCACGCACGCACACACACACACACCTGCTCACCTGGTTGTATAGGGCACAGATGTGTAGGGCTGAGTTTCCTGATGCATTCTGGGCGCTCATGTCTGCTCCGTAGAACAGCAGATGTTCCAGATGCTGAACATGGCCGTGACGGCAAGCCTGCACACACACACACACACACACACACACACACACACACACACACACACACACACACACACACACACACACACACACACACACACACACACACACACACACACACACACACACACACACACACACACACACACACACACACACACACAGTATTTAAATTACTTTAATTAAATGGACAAGCTTTTTTGAAGTTTGCAGAGTTCCAGAGGTAGAGATTGAAAACCATTTACAAATGTATTTATCTGTCTTTAAAAAGAAGGAAAGACAGCAGTTGTTAATAACTAAATGTCCAAGCCTGAAAACACTAAATAGTGTGGGACTTTAAAACAAGTTACTCTGAAAAGCATGTGATTTAAACGAGTATTTGTCCTTTGTCGTGTATACAGAATGTGTTTATTATATCTAACATATTTTGACCAAATGTTAAAACTGATCAAATCAATGTTTTGGGACCATTTGCAGTTAGGGTTGGATTAGATGAAGGGTGTTTGGTTAGTGCTGTGTTTGGTAACTCTCTCTAAATAGCTTATCAGGGTATACCTTTTCACATATCTCCATTCTGTCATATGACTGGAATTGTATGGGAGGTGTGTGGCGCAGTGAAGTAGTGCGTTGGTGTTGGGATCAGGGGGGCACAGGTTCAAACCCCGCTGCAGTCAGCATGTCGTTGTGTCCCTGAGACACTTCACCCCAAAGTGCTCCTGTGGGGATTGCCCACAGTATTGAGTATGTAAATCGCTTTGGATAAAAGCGTCTAACAAGTGACATGTCATGTAATGTAATTGAAAAATGTCTCTGTAAATGAAAGCCTTTGACACATCCCCTTGATGGTGTGTGCAGTACCAGTGATTGACCACTAGATGTCAGTGTGCTGCAGAGAGCTTCGTTACCCTCAGTTTGAACCCTGAAGATGTGAGGATGACGAGTGTGTGTAGAGCTTTAAGAAATACACAATTGAATTAATCAGAGTTTAAAGGCTGTCTTTTATGAACCCATTTCCCTCCCTGAATGGCATTAACGTTTGAGGTTATGGTGACAGGTGCAATTTATCGTGAGGGGAGGGATTAAAGTGAAATGGCCAATTTACACTGAGGCTTATTTCAGAGAGGTTTGTGAGGAAAACCCAAATGGCTGCTTATCAGCTAAAGCAGGTTACAGTAAAGCATTCTCTCAGAGTAATGGAGTTTTGTGACATAAGCTTGTGCTCAGTCAGGCAGAACATTAGGGGGAATGTTTGGTGATGTTTTCTTTGTAAGGACCATGAGGTCTGATTGATTCAGCTGTGTCAACAGAATGCACATATGTGTGGAGATTTCTGTAACTTTCTTTCAAAATCTGGACATATCTCCAAATCTGTATCTGGATTTGTAAATGTGAAAGTAAATGGGAATGAGAAGACACATCTGTTAAAGGGAAGATACATGTGGAATATACAAACACATGTGTAAATAAAAACACACGTGTATTATTGTGAAATCAAATCTTTATATGTGAAGGCAAATTTGAATATTTGAAGATATATATTTCAACTTAGAGACAAATGTGAATACGAATATTTTAAAATGTAGATATTGGCGTACATGTGAAGTCAAATGTGAAATATACAGACACGTGTAAATAAACATTCCTATATTTGTTTCAAGGTGATCGCAGGTTTTACTTCTTTGTTAAAAGGATGTGAATAAAAAGTGATTTTCTTGCCCTCTGAACAAACTGAGCTGCCTGACAGATGATTGCTATCACGTCTGAAATGGGACACACCGAGGGAGACAGGGAGAGAGATGTGTGATAAAGCTGATCAGCCTGAACACACACACACACACACACACAAACACACACACACTCGCACTCGTGACAGAGTGTGTAGACACTAATGTGTGACTGCTGCAGGGTGGCTTTTCCTTAAATGGCTTAATACACTTTAACGGTAACAGCTGCCAAGACAGACGGCCACGGAGTGTGTCAGTGTGTGTGTGTGTGTGTGTGTGTGTGTGTGTTTCTACGTGTGCTTTGGTAATATGTACCAGCTGTACCAAATCAAAAAAGAGCAAAAAAACCTTCTGTGCTCCTCTGTTTGCACCTGCTGAACTGGAGGTGTGTGTGTGTGTGTGTGTGTGTGTGTGTGTGTGTGTGTGTGTGTGTGTGTGTGTGTGTGTGTGTGTGTGTGTGTGTGTGGTGTGTGTGTGTGTGTGTGTGTGTGTGTGTGTACCTGGTGAACCTCGTGCCAGCCATTCTCGTCCTGGCAGCAGACGGAGGCGTGGTGGTTGAGCAGCAGCTCGCAGCAGCCGGGGTCCCCCCCCCCCACCACACTGTGGTACAGAGGGGTCAGACCACGACTGTCCTTGTAGTCCGGAGAAGCCCCCAACTCCAGCAGCGTCTGAGTGTGTGTGTGTGTGTGTGTGTGTGTGTGTGTGTGTGTGTGTGTGTGTGTGTGGGTGTGTGTGTGTGTGTGTGTGTGTGTGTGTGGGTGTGTGTGTGTGTGTGAGAGGGGATGGAAAGACACAGAAAGAGGAAATATGAATTATTTAGCAAGAAGGGAATTGAGTCATCTGGTCTCCAAAGTGGAGGTTTTAAAGTAACTAAGAAATACTGTCTTAAATGGAATATGTTGGTGATGCCTACAGTACGTCTATAGCGCATAATAAACATACTTATAATGCATTATAATCAGCTTATAGCAATGGTATAAGCACTGAAATATATTTATAATGCTATAAAAAAGCATCATAATAAGTGTCATTGTACTTGTATTTCACTGACTTTAGAATAATGACATTTCTTTTAATTTAATTTTAATTTTAATTTAACAATGACCAAGTAAAATAACCTATGATAAGATTATTATTTATTTATTTACATTAAATTATATTACAACTATAGTAATTATACACTTAGATCCTTCCTTGCAAAAAAACCAATATGTTTATTTTTACTGTCGGCCGGGTCACTTATTACTGGATCAGCTGCTGCATGAAACAGACACTGGCGCTGTCCAAAGAGAGGGAGGAAAAAGAGAGGCTCCGTGTATTTTATTATTATAATATATAGCCTAGAGTCGTTATTCATTTGTTATAAAGCTCAATAAATAACAAAGAAGACCTTTGACCGGCACTTTTATAATTTTGTCGGAAGATTTAAACTTTAATACACGTTGACTGGCGAAAAACTCTGCCCGGTTCCCTCGGGCCCCACCGCGGAGAATAAACAGAAGGGCAACCATGACAACCATGCTTCTTCGCTGCTTTTGTGGAGGAAGTTACAGCGCCACGTACAGGCTCCTGCATATGTACTGCAGCTTCTCCAGCGGTTGGAGCTAAACGGAGCGGTCTCGTGTGGACAGACACTATCCGGTGAATATTGCGTGTGGACGGAAGCTTTTTTGCGTTTGCGTTAATCCTATGCGTTTAGCCGTTTTCGTCCTCGTGTGGCCGGGGCCTAACAAAGCTCACAAAACTTTAGAAAAATAATTGAAGATGAAACAAAATATAAAAGGTCATTATTAACTTGTTCTTTCACAGAGTGCGCTGTGGGAAAGATTTAAAAGATAAAAGTGATTTTGCTTCTTCTTAACTCAGAAAGTACTGACAGCTTCTTAACTTCACATCTCGCCCTGTTGTTGGCTGACAGTTTGAACGCATCAAAATGCTGCTCATTTTGCCGAAAGACGCTACAAAGCATGATGATGGAAACTGTCTTGCTTTGCAGAAGTTCCTGCACATGTGAGCAGGTGTAAGAAGTTTAAAACTGAGGATGAAAGACGTTGTATTTTATTTTTACCGTGAGTGTGACGTGGTTCTTGGAGCGAGCAGCTTTGTGCAGAGACGTCATGCCGTCTTTAGCTCTGAAGTCCAGGTGAGAGCCTCCATTCTTCAAAACCTTGATCATCTCCACCATGTTGTCCAGGTGAGCGGCAAATGTCAGCGGACTCTCTAGAAAAATAAATCAAAGACAGAACATTTTCAATTATTTTATCGGTAGAAAAACAAGTCCATATGTGCTAATGTTTTATAACAAGCTGTTTTAAAAGGCTTATTTTGTGAGTCCTGAAATCCAGAAATGAGTCACAATTTCACCACTAGAAATGGATTCAGCATCATCAACAACCCCCAAAACCACTGAAATATCTTCCAATTCGGCAACTTGTGCTAAATATGCAAATTGCAAGTTAGCATACGCCAGATTCTGATTGTTAGGGACCCCTAAATTATATTTCTAACATAAAACGTTGGGGTACTCAACATTTCCAGGTTCACATTGCTTGCAAATGGCTAACTATCTAAATTAGACGACTAAACATCATCATGCTCAACATTAGCTGCCTTTAGCTTAGCGGTGGTGACGTGAAGTCATGTGACCGTGCTGTAGTTCCTTTATAGCCCAACATTAGCCTCCTTTAGCTTAGCGGTGGTGACGTGAAGTCATGTGACCGTGCTGTAGTTCCTTTATAGCCCAACATTAGCCTCCTTTAGCTTAGCGGTGGTGACGTGAAGTCATGTGACCGTGCTGTAGTTCCTTTTATAGCCCAACATTAGCCGCCTTTAGCTTAGCGGTGGTGACGTGAAGTCATGTGACCATGCTGTAGTTCCTCTATAGCCCAACATTAGCCGCCTTTAGCTTAGCGGTGGTGACGTGAAGTTATGTGACCGTGCTGTAGTTCCTCTATAGCCCAACATTAGCCACCTTTAGCTTAGCGGTGGTGACGTGAAGTCATGTGACCGTGCTGTAGTTCCTCTATAGCCCAACATTAGCCGCCTTTAGCTTAGCGGTGGTGATGTGAAGTTATGTGGCCATGCTGTAGTTCCTTTATAGCCCAACATTAGCAGCCTTTAGCTTAGCGGTGGTGACCTGAAGTCATGTGACCATGCTGTCGTTCCTTTAAAGTCAAACGTTAGCTTTTTTCTTCAGAAATCATAAAGTGGTGTTAATATGTGGAGATTATCCTGCTGAACAAATGTGTCCAATGAAATCCAATCCAATTGAAAAATCCCATTGAACCAGGGAGATGTTGTCTTCATGGTCGGCTTATAGAAATACCTCATCACTGCACCACTCTACAGGAGCCAAACAAATATTTGTGCTCCTAAGTGGGAGTCACAAGCTTATACATAAGCTGCACCTTAAACAGTGATCTGAATTTCCATAAGTAACACATCAGTATTCACACGACTGCACACGACTCCAGGGACTGACACCGAGGATGTGATGACACAGTTTGTTTTCTTTAGTACAAACCACCTGGGAAATGTCTGCTTTCATTTTCTATTTGTCTTGTTGAAGATCCATCCATCCATCCATCTTTTCCCGCTTATCCGTGGTCGGGTCGCGGGGGTAGCAGTTCCAGCCGAGAGACCCAAACTTCCTGGCGACATCAACCAGCTCTGACTGGGGGATCCCAAGGCGCTCCCAGGCCAGCGAAGAGATATAATCCCTCCACCTGGTCCTAGGTCTACCCCTTGGTCTCTTCCCAGCTGGACGTGCCTGGAACACCTCCCTAGGGAGGCGCCCAGGTGGCATCCTAACTAGGTGCCCAAACCACCTCAACTGGCTCCTTTCGACGCGAAGGAGGAGCGGTTCAACTCCGAGTCCCTCCCGGATGACCGAACTTCTCACCTTATCCCTAAGGGAGACGCCAGCCACCCTGCGGAGAAAGCCCATCTCGGCCGCTTGTATCCGCGATCTCGTTCTTTCGGTCATGACTCATCCTTCATGACCATAGGTGAGGGTAGGAACGAAAATGGCCCGGTAGACAAAGAGCTTTGCCTTCTGGCTCAGCTCCCTTTTCGTCACAACAGTGCGGTAAAGCGACTGCAGTACCGCTCCCGCGGCTCCAATTCTCCGGCCCATCTCACGCTCCATTGTTCCCTCACTCGAGAACAAGACCCCGAGATACTTGAACTCCTTCACTTGGGGTAAGGACTCATTCCCTACTTGGAGTGAACAGTCCATCGGTTTCCTGCTGAGAACCATGGCCTCAGATTTGGAGGTGCTGATCCTCACTTGAAGATTGTGATTGAAGATCACACTGAATAATTTACAGGTGACATGTGAAGCACAGTGTGAGTAACATGATGCAGACAACTAAAAAGCACACCTGTGTTGTATTTACTTAAACAATTACACAAGGTGAGCCATGAGTTTTAATCTCAATGCACTTGTAAAGGGCTTCTCGTTAGGGTAATCCAAATGCTCCAAATCCAAATAGCTGGTTGTGATTTCAGGCTATGAAAAAACAGTTTGGTCCCCTATTGTCTTTCTAGCATCTGGCTATCATTAGACTCCCATTTCTGAAACACATCCCAATTACTTTATATTGGAGTGGGGCAGAGACTCATTTTCAGTGTCTTCACTGCAGATAAATAGTCGCCAATCAAGATTAATTGAAGATATACAAGTCTGCCAAAATGAGCTCATATAAAAAGCTCCAAATAAAGTGTTTGAATGAGTTTAGCCTTGAGAAGAAGCTCTAGCCTGCCCTTCATGAATGAATCTGATTAGGAGCAAGTAAGTGACAGAAACAGGGAACTTAACTATAGTTTTTTGGGAGGACTTCACAGGTTTCCCTTTCAGTACATGTCCATATTCATGTTTATATAGTTTATTGTTTTGCAGATGATACACAGCACAGAATGAGGCTGACTTGTTTGAAGCCTGCACCTAAATACGTTTTAAATTCAGTTTTATAGAAAAAAACAAGCTCACAATGAAAATGAATTCAATATTGATGTCAACTTATTCCGACATGTAAAATGAAAAGGATCTCGTCATCTTGCCCTGATGTAAACCATCTGATTAAAGAAGGTCAAGTGTTTGTCACAACTAATTAGAGTAATACAAACTTCACTGTAATTAAGACCTCTTTAAAAATGTCAATCTTAATGAGATCTTCCACTCAGAGATAATTAATGTGTCCTAATTTCCCGTAGAAATAAACAGATTTTATTTTCAGTTTGCTGTTGTTATACAATAAATCAACACAGATCAGTTTAGTATTCACATGTTGTACGAGAAGATGTCAGATACAGCTTCTTTTGAGTTTTCTTATAGGTATAAAATTGAACATTTACCAAAGGAAATGAAAATGCCATCATCATCTTGGACAATTTTAAAATCTGTGGCAGTAATTTCTCAAACTATACAAGTCTGAATAGCTTCGTTTGAAGGAATGAAATTAGCCTCAATTTCTGCAGCGGTGCAGACTGTGTGCAAACAAAGAGTTTACACAGCAATACTGAAATGAATAGTTTTTATTCCACGGCTTTGTTGAATATTCAATTCTGATTGGTCAATTTGGACATCTCAGAGGTTGTTAATACTCACTAACAGACCGTTGCTAAGGATAACATGACCGTTGCTAAGGAGGATCAAGGGACTACGCGAAGTCATAAGAGGTCCGACATTTAACATCAGCTGTTTTACAACAAACTAAAGATTTTCAGATACAGAAATATCCTGTATCAGAAAACATCATGGAATAATTATCTTTATGTTTGTGGAGAGCATGAACATGTTGATTCATGATGGCTGACACTTTCCCCAGTAAAGAAAATAAAAAGGGAACAAGAGAAGGAGAGAGGTTAAAAGACAGACAGCTGGACATCAGTGAAATCAACAGAAGAAGACAGGAAGTAAACACTAAAGGGAACAACAGAAGACAGACAGGAAGTGAACAGCTGAAAAAGACAGACAGGAAGTAAACACTAAAGGGAACAACAGAAGAAGAAGAAGAAGTAAAAACTAAAGGGAACAACAGAAGAAGAACAAGAAGAAGAAGAAGAAGAAGAAGAAGAAGAAGAAGAAGAAGAAGAAAAAACAACTAAAGGGAACAACAGAAGAAGAAGAAGTAAAAACTAAAGGGAACAACAGAAGAAGAAGAAGAAGAAAAAACTAAAGGGAACAGAAGAAGAAGAAGAATAAGAAGAAGAAGAAGAAGAAGAAGAAGAAGAAGAAGAAGAAGAAGAATAAGAATAAGAAGAAGAAGAAGAAGAAGAAGAAGAAGAAGAAGAAGAAGAATAAGAATAAGAAGAAGAAGAAGAAGAAGAAGAAGAAGAAGAAGAAGAAGAAGAAACAACAACTAAAGGGAACAACAGAAGATGTCACAAACGAGCTGAGGACCAAAATGCAGAACACGGGAAACCAGGGATAGTCGGTAACCAGCTTTATTGAAGGCAATAGGCTGGTGGGAGACAAAACGGCAGATAGTAGGCAAAGAGCTGGTCGGGGACAGGCGAGGGTTCCAGGAGAAAGCAGGACGGGAGTCGCAGGTACAGAACGGGTCAGGGAGCAGGCGAGGCAGGCTGGTCAGGGACAGGCAGGGTCGAAACCGGGGAGAGCAATCTGGAGGGTAATGCGGGAAGACTGGTATGCTGCAAAGTACGATCTGGCACTGAGGGGAAAGTGAAGTGGGCCTAAATACTAATGGAGCTGATGGGTGTAACAGAGAGAGAGAGAGACAGGGTGTGACTACCAGGTGACTAAGGAATGTTAATGCAGAAAATAGGTGAGTGAGAAAGCAGACTGTGACAGAAGAAGACAGACAGGAAGTAAACACGAAAGGGAACAGAAGAAGAAGAACAAGAAGAAGAGGAAGTAAAAACTAAAGGGAACAACAGAAGAAGAAGAAGAAGAAGAAGTAAACACTAAAGGGAACAACAGAAGAAGAAGAAGAAGAAGAAAAAAGAGAAGAAGAAGAAGAAAACGCTAAAGGGAACAACAGAAGAAGAAGAAGAGGAAGTACAAACTAAAGGGAACAACAGAAGAAGACAGGCAGGAAGTAAACACTAAAGGGAACACCAGAATAAGACAGACAGGAAGTAAACACTAAAGGGAACAGCAGAAGAATAAAGACAGGAAGTAAACACTAAAGGGAACAGCAGAAGAATAAAGACAGGAAGTAAACACTAAAGGGAACATAATAAGACAGACAGGAAGT